TTTAAAAAAATATTCTTTAAAAAATCCACGCCTTGATAAGCCTTTGAAAAAAATATTCTTTAAAAAATCCACACCTTGATAAGCCTTTGAAAAAAATACTCGTTAAAAAATCCACGCCTTGATAAGTCTTTGAAAAAAATATTCTTTAAAAAATCCACGCCTTGATAAGCCTTTGAAAAAAATATTCTTTAAAAAATCCACGCCTTGATAAGCCTTTGAAAAAAATATTCTTTAAAAAATCCACGCCTTGATAAGCCTTTGAAAAAAATATTCTTTAAAAAATCCACGCCTTGATAAGCCTTTGAAAAAAATATTCTTTAAAAAATCCACGCCTTGATAAGCCTTTGAAAAAAATATTCTTTAAAAAATCCACGCCTTGATAAGCCTTTGGAAAAAAATATTCTTTAAAAAATCCACGCCGTGATAAGCCTTTAAAAAAAATATTCTTTAAAAAATCCACGCCTTGATAAGCCTTTGAAAAAAATATTCTTTAAAAAATCCACGCCTTGATAAGCCTTTGAAAAAAATATTCTTTAAAAAATCCACGCCTTGATAAGCCTTTGAAAAAAATATTCTTTAAAAAATCCACGACTTGATAAGCCTTTGGAAAAATATTCTTTAAAAAATCCACGCCTGATAAGCCCTTGGAAAAATATTCTTTAAAAAATCCATGCCTTGATAAGCCTTTGGAAAAAATATTCTTTAAAATATCCACACCTTGATAAACAATGAAAAAAAATTATTTCTTCTCTCTTTAGTATTTCTAAAAAATCAAGCTTTCGATTAAAAAAACCTCAAAATTAAAAAAAATATGATTAATGACTTTGGACATTCTTTGCTAATTATAGTGTTTTGTATGGAAACAATTGTGGTAGTCTAAATATGTTGTTGTCGCTAAATAAATATATTTATAGATTTCCAAATTTATTCTTTATTGAATTTGACATAACATTTAATTATTTTTAGTTAAATGATGATTAACGTCAGTTGGCTTGTTAGAATGCGATTAATAATAAAATTATTTTATTTGTTTTGATTGAAGAGAGGGAGAAACATGTTCATATAATTATTTAATCAAAACAACAACAAAAACAATTTTATTAAATTATTAACAGTAGCATTAATATAGATAATTAAGATTTATCTAAAAATCCAATGCAAAACAAAAAACAAAATGAAGAACTTTTGACCTGAGCATGAGAAATTTTATAACTTTATCTTCTTTGTTTATACATTTATAAAATGAGAATAATTTAATTATGAATATTTCTTAGAGTTGAAAATCTATGAATTCTAAAAGTAGACACAATTAGACGATTAGTTTTAGCATAACGAAATTCATCATCACCTTCGTGTTAGAATGAGCTAAACAAACAATTATAACCCAAAAGAACAAAAGAGAAGAGACGAAACGTATTACAGGCACGCAACCAAAAATCAAATACAAAGTCAGGGTTCCATCTTTATCTGAAAATAAAAATTAAAATCAAATTTATTAACTATATTCACAACAGATTGTTTAAAAATACAAACTAATAATTTTACACTAAGCTACAATAACGTAGTTGTTTCCATTTTTTTATCGATGCGAATATTTTTTGTAAAAAATGTATTACAAGGCTTATCAAGGCGTAGATTTTTTAAAGAATATTTTTTTCCAAGGCTTATCAAGGCGTAGATTTTTTAAAGAATATTTTTTTCCAAGGCTTATCAAGGCGTAGATTTTTTAAAGAATATTTTTTTCCAAGGTTAATCAAGGCGTATATTTTTTAAAGAATATTTATACCCTACAGAACTATGTTGTCAGGGTATTATAGCTTTGTGCAGCCCCAAAAGTTTGTAACGCCGCGAAATATTGGTCCTAGACCCACCTTTAAGTATACCAATCGTCATATCTCGACTAGCTGAGTCGATCTAGACATGTGTGTCCGTCCGTCCGTCCGTCTGTCCATTATAATTTGTAAACACGATACAGGCCACAGTTATGGACCAATCTTCACGAAATTTTGCATGTATGATGGGTTCTGGCCAATGAAGACCCCTATTGTTTTTGGGAAAGATCGGTTAATATTTAGGGGATGAAATGGACCAAATACTAAATTTTTGTCCGTTTTTCTGGTCGCTCCAGAGGCCGCAATAGTGGCGCGAACATCGTGAAATTTTCCATGGAGAAGGGGATCAGACCAAAGAATAAGCATGCCTGTTTTCATAAAGATCGGTCAATATTTAGCGGGTCAAATGGACCCTGACTTTTGTGTGACAAAATTTGTATTCTATAGCATATATATTTACCCCTGAAGGACATAGACCCGAAAAGTTTATATTATATCCAAGAGGAGTGGTTGACCTTTAAATTAATACCAATTATATTGTTGTATGTGCTCGGATGTGGGAGTTACACCTAAATATTTACAGGTATCTCCGTATTCGTATATTATTTAGTAACCCATTATCACTCTACAGAGGGTAACTATAGCGCTGATCGCTTTGAAATGTTCCATGAGGTTTCAGTTATGGTCAAGGACAACGCCTATAATTTTCGGTGATGACCAGATAATAATTTTGGAATGAAGTGGACCGAATACTTAATTGTTTGTGTTATTTTCGAGTCGATCTATAGACTACAAATGAAAGCCGAACATCACAACACATCCCACGGTGAAGGGAATCTGGACAATAGCAGTACTGAATACTCGTAATATTCGAAAAATATGTCAGTGTAAGGACAATAGCTGTACTGAATACTAGTAATATTCGGGAAATATGTCAGTGTAAGGAAGAGGTGCTGTTTACCTCTAATCGGGTAAGAGGGTGCAAATATCACGAAATATTGCCCAGCTCGGAATATACATCCGCAGAAAATTTGAGTTCCGTGGTAGTTGTGTAGGGTATCGTATGGTCGGCCCCGTCCGACTATACTGCTCCGCTCACTGGTTTTTTCCAAGGTTTATCAAGGTGTAGATTTTTTAAAGAATATTTTTTTCCAAGGTTTATCAAGGCGTAGATTTTTTAAAGAACATTTTTTTCCAAGGCTAGTCTAGGCGTAGATTTTTTAAAGAATATTTTTTCCAAGGCTTATCAAGGTGTAGATTTTTTAAAGAATATCTTTTTCCAAGGCTTATCAAGGCGTAGATTTTTTAGAGAATATTTTTTTCCACGGCTTATCAAGGCGTAGATTTTTTAAAGAATATTTTTTTCCAAGGCTTATCAAGGTGTAGATTTTTTAAAGAATATTTTTCCAAGTCTTATCAAGGCGTAGATTTTTTAAAGAATATTTTTTCAAGTCTTATCAAGGCGCAGATTTTTATACCCTACACAACTATGTTGTCAGGGTATTATAGCTTTGAGCAACCCCAAGAGTTTGTAATGCCGCGAAATATTGGTCCTAGACCCACCTTTAAATATACCGATCGTCATATCTCGACTAGCTGAGTCGATCTAGACATGTGTGTCCGTCCGTCCGTCTGTCACTTATAATTTGTAAACACGATACAGGCCACAGTTATGGAGCAATCTTCACGAAATTTTGCATGTAGGATGGGTTCTGACCAATGAAGACCCCTATTGTTTTTGATAAAGATCGGTTAATATTTAAGGGATGAAATGGACCAAATACTTAATTTTGTTTTCGGCCCGAACATCGCGAAATTTTACATGGAGAAGGGGATTGGGCCAAAGAATAAGCGTGCCTATTTTGATAAGGATTGGTCAATATTTAGCGGGTCAAAGGGACCCTGACTTTTGTGTGAAAAATTACAAAATTTGTATTCTATGGCGTATATATTTGCTCCTGAAGGACCTAGACCGGAGAAGTTGGCCGTATGTTGAAGAGGAGTGGTTGACCTTTATATTGATACCAATTATATGGTCGTATGTACTCAGATGTGGGAGTTACACGTAAATATTTACAGGTGCTTACGTATTCAGATATTATTTAGTAACCCATTATCACACTAGAGGGCAAAAATATAGCGCTGATCGCTTTGAAATTTTCCATTCGAATCCAGTTATGGTCCAGGACAACGCCTATAATTTTCGGTGATGATCAGATAATAGTTTTGGGATGTAGTGGACCAAAAACTTATTTTTTTGTGTTTTATTCGATTCGACCCATAGGCTACAATTAAAAGCCCAACATCACAACATAACCCACGGTAAAGAGAATCTGGACAAGTACAGTCCCCGTCTACAGAATATTTGAATATTAGAATTAGATCGCGAAATATTGGCAAAGCTCTAAATATAGAACCATAAACAGTTAGATTTTCGTGGAAGTTGTGTATGGTATCATATGATCGACCCCGTCCGACTATACCGCTCACTAAAGAATATTTTTTTCCAAGGCTTGTCAAGGCGTAGATTTTTTAAAGAATATTTTTTCCAAGGCTTGTCAAGGCGTAGATTTTTTAAAGAATATTTTTTTCCAAGGCTTGTCAAGGCGTAGATTTTTTAAAGAATATTTTTTTCCAAGGCTTGTCAAGGCGTAGATTTTTTAAAGAATATTTTTTTCCAAGGCTTGTCAAGGCGTGGATTTTTTAAAGAATATTTTTTTCAAAGGCTTATCAATGCGTAGATTTTTTAAAGAATATTTTTTCCAAGGCTTACCAAGGTGTAGATTTTTTAAAGAATATTTTTTTCAAAGGCTTATCAAGGCGTAGATTTTTTAAAGAATATTTTTTTCAAAGGCTTATCAAGGCGTAGATTTTTTAAAGAATATTTTTCAAGGCTTAACAACTCGTAAAGACTTATCAAGGCGTAAGTTTTTGTATTAGTATTTCTCTGATCTTCTGTTGACTAGTGCAATTAAATATTGAAAATAAAATATTTTTAAAAGATGCAAAATTTTTAAACACAATGCCTTACAATTTTCCCAACGTGTATTTCATTTGTTTATAAAGTCAGATAATAAATTAAATGATTTTTAATAATTTGTTAATATTGCTGTTTCTCTTAATCCCCTCTTAACCCCCTCTCATTTATGTTTTGTTTTTATATTCCAGTGTCTATTACATTGTGTTTATGCCAAAAATAATGCCATTGACAAAAATGGTTGGCCTACATTGGACGGTTTGGTGGATTTCTATTCGGGCGGTGTCAATGAACATGGCTTCTTTATGGCCACCCTGCGTTCGGTGAATTTGTGTTTGCGTGCTGTCACCAATAAATATCACGTGGATCGTCGTCAATTACCGGAAAAGGGTGAAAGCTGTGATTTGGCATTTGATGTTTTCGATTGTATATCGGATCAAATTACCGGTTATTGTTTGGATCAATATAAGGCGTAGATGGTTTTAATTTTAAATTTTTGTTATTTATTTTGAACGAAAAAAAAAAACAGATATTTTATTTATTAATTTTTTATAATATTATTTATTTTTTAAAGAAAAACATTTTATATGATTTATATTTTAAATAAAACATTAAATAATAAATATGAAATAATAATAAAATTTTAATAATTTTAATGCAATATTAGATAATATGCCGATTCGTATTTCTTCTGGTAATACATAATTATGTTTTGAAATTGTATTTAACTTATTATATTTATACTGCACTTTGGATCGCACACAAGAAGTGACTATTTTCTAAAACTTAACATGAACGTCCATCTAACTTTCTTTGTTTTATGACTCTTTAATGCATTTTGTCATGAATGAATTTCTTTTTTTATACCCTCCACCATAGTATAGAGGGTATATTAGTTTTGTTTTTCCCGTTTGTAACGCATCGAAATAATCATTTCCAATCCTATAAAGTATATATATTCTTGATCAGCGTAAAATTCTATGACGATCTAAGCATGTCCGTCTGTCTGTTGTAATCACTCTAGCGACTAAACGAATTGAGATAGAACGCCAAAACTTTGCATAGAGTCGTCTTTTGTCTGCAGGCAGGTCACGTTCGAAGATGGGCTCTATCGGTCCATGTTTAGGCATAGCTCCCATATAAGGGTACCCCCAAATTTTCAGTATCTTGGGGTTCTTGATCGCGTTTTTCAATCGAATTCGCTGAAATTTGGTAAAATGGGTCCTTTTTGGGTACCAAATATCTCCACTAAAAATTATAAATAGAGGTCCACTTTTTCTGGTAGCCCCCATATAACGGTACCTCCCAATTTTCAGATTTTGGGGGGGTTTGACCGGATTTTTTCATCGAATTGGCTGTAATTTAGTACTTTGAGTTCTTATTGGGTATCAAATCAATATCAAATCTCCACAAACAATTATAAACATAGGTCCATTTTTTCGGGATGCCCTCATGTAAGGGTACACCCAATTTTCGGTATTTTGGAGTTATTGAGCCCGTTTTTCAACCGAATCCTCTGAAATTTGGTACTTTGAGTTCTTTTTACGTAGAAAATCTCTCCACTAAAAATTATAAATATAGGTCCATTTTTTTGGGTAGCCCCCATATAAGGGTGCCCTCCAATTTTCGGTACTTTGGGGTTCTTGAGCGCGGTTTTCAACCGAATTCGCTGTAATTTGGTATTTTGTAGTCGTATATAGTAACAAATCTACCTACCAAAAATTATTAATATTCGCACCATTTTATGGGTAGTCCCCATATAAACCCCTATTTTTTATATTAAAATAGTTAACTGATTTGTTCTGCGTTTTGGGATTGCCTTCATATACCCGTATTCCACAATAGTATGGGAGATATCCTGTACTCGAAATTGTCCGTTTATACAATTTATCTACCTGTTGTAATTAATCTTCCTTTGGATGATATGGAGGTAAAAAACTAGAAGGTCAGGTTTTATCGGCCAGCATTTAGGCCTAGTCCCTATATAAAAGCACCCACCGATTTAATATTTAGCGTTTGATGAAGGTATTTAGATACAAAACTAAACCAGTGAGGAAAGTAATGAAATCGGACGAGGTCGACTTTATAATACCCTTCCCCACTATGGGTATATTAAACAGATGCATCCTAACATACATCTCATTTTTGGTCCTTGAAAAAAAGGATATGTTGTCCTTATCTAAATATGAACTGTCTTAGATCAATCTATTTCAAGCAAAAAACATTCGGACATCCGTTGAGCTATGTGTGTACTTCTACAAAATGCAACTACGTCAATCTATGTCAATCTGACAAACATGAGGAGTTTGGTGCACCATTTGCTTATAATATATGCAAGCTATATCCAAATATGAATCGATTTCAAAGAAAGTTGTCACAGGATAGGTAATACTAATTTCAGTATATGTTGTTGCTATCGGTCATATTTTGGATCCTTGGTGCATCATTTGCATAAAATCGGACGATAATATATATGGGAGCTATATCCAAATCTGAACAGATTTCAAGAAAACTTTACACATGTTATGTTATAGTAACTTGAGTACGTTGTGCAAAATTTTGTCTTAATCGGCTTAACTTTGGGTCTTTGGTGGGCTCTATACATAATATCTGACGAAACTCTATATGGGAGCTATATCTAAATCTGATTTTTTTGGTATGTTCCCAATATTTTCATTTCACTTAACTGTCAATATTCCTATGGTGGAGGGCAATCAAAGTTCGGCCCGGCCGAACTTAACGCTTTTTCACTTGTTTACATTCAGTTCAGATTTAGCACAAACACACATTCTCCTTACTTTTCTTTACAAGGTTACAATGTGTTACCCTCAATAACATCATGAATGGTATAAATCACGATTTTCATTCCATAGATCGTTAACTACCGAACGATATTTGTGGTAATAAGTCAGTTACTGTGTTTGCAACGGTTCAACCTAATTCCAAATGATGCTGATGCTGCCAATTCAAATCCCCAACACAATGGAATAAATTCAATTAAACTTCATATTTCTTTGATTGCTAATAATTCTACGTTTCCTTAACGTTTTTCTACGTACATCAAGAGTCTAGGTCAGTGTCTTGAATATTTCATATTCACACTTTGTGCTGTCCAACACAGACAGAGCATCTTCTCATACAAGTTAGACATACGAAGAGGCATTTGAATTTAACTTGAAAACATATACATATTCACCTTTGTAATTAGAACGCCTCGAGCATTCAAAAAACATTGTTGAGATATTTGTACGTTTTTGAAGTTTAAAAATGTAATTACTTTGTAATTATTAGAACTTTTTCCATATTATTTGCATAATTTACTGGGTTACAACTGTGCGGAATGGTTGGCGGTTTTCCTATCCATGGATGAGTGCATTTACATTGAAGGGAAATACAAAATTTGAATTGTTGTTATAATAACCACATATATCCGTTGGATTTTGGTAGTTTAGAAAACTGAAATATTTGAGAGTACAATGAGCAATACGAAAGACTTAAGAAACAAACGCGGAAATATAAACCAAGAAAATCATACAAGCACTCTCTCACTCTATAGAGAGAAAGAGAGAGAGATAATACTTCCTGCGATTTTAAAAGTTCAAAACACTGTGTCATTTCTTAAAAATCATTCACACTTTGCCAAGCCTTGAAAAAGCAAAAACACAGAATTTTTTTTAAATATCCTTATCCCCTTGATGAGCCTTTAAAATATTTTTCAAAAATCAACGCCTCGATAAGTCACAAAAAAATCTTTACAAAAATCAGGACTTGAAAAAATTAAAAAATCCTTTCTTTGAAAAACTTATTTTTTAAACCAGTGAGCGGAGCAGTATAGTCGGACGGGGCCGACCATACGATACCCTACACAACTACCACAGAACTTTATTTTTTTTGCGGATTTCTATTCCGAGACTGGGTAATATTTCGTGATAGTTGCACCCTCTTTACCGATTAGAGGTCAACAGCACCTCTTCCTTACACTGACATATTTTCCGAATATTACCAATATTCAGTACATCCCTTCTAATTACTTGTCCACATTCCCTTCACCGTGGGTTGTGTTGTGATGTTCGGCTTATAATAGTAACCTATAGATCGAATCGAAAAAAAAACACAAAAGGTAAGTTTTCGGTCCACTTCTTCCCAAAATAATTATCTGATCATCACCGAAAATTATAGGCGTTGTTCTTGACCATAACTGGAACCTCATGGAACATTTCAAAGCGATCCGCGCTATATTTCCGCCCTCTAGTGTGGTAATGGTTTATTAAATAATATCTGTATACGTAAGTACCTGTAAATATTTACGTATAGCTCCCACATCCGTGTACATACGACAATATAATTGGTATCAATTTAAGGGCCAATCACTCCTCTTGGATAAACTATTAACTTCTCGGCTCTATATTCTTCAGGAGTAAAGTCAGGGTCAATTTGACCCGCTAAATATTGACCGATCTTTTTCAAAACAGGCATGCTTATTCTTTGGCCCAATTCGCTTCTTCATTATACCCTTCACCACACTGTGGTACAGGGTATTATGTCTTTGTGCATATGTTTGTAACAGGCAAAAGGAAACGACATAGACACATGGTTTCTTTTTGAGAATATGCATAGAATCACTTTCTGAGTCGATTTACGCATGTCCGTATGTCCGTCCGTCCGTCCATGTATTTTTGTGAACAAAGTAAAGGTCGTATTTATGATCCGATTTGGATGAAATTTGGCACAATTCACTTATTCGGCCCAAGGACGAACCCTATTGAAATTGGGAAAAATCGGTTCAGATTTAGATATAGCTCCCATATATATTTTCGTCCGATTTAAGGTAAATGAGGCACCAAAGTCCCTCTATATCTTTTGATTTGCACGAAATTTGGCACAGAGTACTGAATTAGGTCCAGAATGATGTATGCCAAGTTTCGAGAAAATAGGTTCAGATTTACATATAGCTCCCATATATAGTTTCGTCCGATTTAAGACAAATGGGGCACCAAAGTCCCTCTATATCTTTCGATTTGCACGAAATTTGGCACAGAGTACTGACTTAGGTGCAGAATGATGTGTGCCAAGTTTCGTGAAAATCGGTTTAGATTTAGATATAGCTCCCATATATAGTTTCGACCGATTTTATGTAAATGGTGCACCACGAAATTTGGTATAGCGTATTGAATTATGTCTAGAATGATATGTGCAATGTTTCGTGAAAATCGGCGCAGATTTAGATATAGCTCCCATATATATATTCATCCGATTTAAGGTAATTGGTGCACCAAAGTCCCTATATATGTTTTGATTTGCACGAAATTTGGCATAGTGTACTCAATTCAATCTAGAATGATGTTTGTTGAGTTTCGTGAAAATTGATCCAGATTTAGATATAGTTTTCTTATATAGTTTCGTCCGATTTTATGGAGATAGTGCACCAAAGTCCCTATATATCTTCCGATTTCTATATCTTGAGAGTCTAGAATGT